ATCTGGGTTTGTTATCAAGGAATGCAGATGTCTGGGTTTGTTTTTTTTTTTCCATGCAGATAGCCCATAACAAAGCCCAGCTATGCATTGATGGAATAACAGTGTCTACATCAGCCTCTGTGGAGAAACTTGTAAACAGAGTCACTGGGAAGTTTGGAAAAAAAACTACTATAACATTCAGCTCTTGTGGAGCATAGAGTGACTAAGAATATGATACACCTCTGTTGTGCAGCCATTCATCGGTGAAGCTAAAAAGGTCTCATAACTTTAGGAAGAAAAGAGAAAGGGGGCAGGAAACATATTTCCTTAAAATTTTAACATGTTTATGTTCATTTCTGTAGGAGTACCACAATGGTAAGAGCTTTAGAAATGCAGGTACTTTACAAATTATCTACTTGTGCATCACAGACTTTCTAATATGACTATTGACATTCAAACTTGTGTTTCCCAGAGCTATTGGCAACTGCAAAGAGTGAGTGTGAAGTGGGTTGTTTCTAACAGGATTTTTAGATTAGGTTCAGTTTATACCTCTGGAGTCTAGAACTGATTCTGACCTTTGAGGTTTCTTTATTCGTCTCAGCATTGTTCTGCATTGTTTTGACTTTCTGTACTTCAAATTAGTATTTCAACAAGCTGTTTCATCTGGGTGTTCCTAACAACTGCCCCTGTAAGCCACTTATGCCTCTAGACCCATGCCTGGGAGCTGAGAGCACTGTGAGGTGTGTCTGGGCATGACAGTGGCTCTTGGTGCCAGCTGTACTGCTCAGCACTGGACATCGAGAGCAGGGCCATGCTTGACCAAGGTCTCCCTATTGTGCATGTGCATGACCAGCCATACAGATGCAGTTTCACTGTGTCAGTGCTGCAGCAAACTCAGTGAAACAATGCTGCCTGCACCAGGCCATGGTGCAGTTCATATCAACCTCCTTGGTAATAAAAAAAAAATGGAGGTCTTGGAGGTATCTAATGACTGTCTGCCTTATGGCTTCCTTGCATGGCAGCAAGGCAGAAAATGGTGCATTCACAGTGATCCCAGCTGAGGAGAGTGTCCTACAGGTTACTATTGCAGCAGCCAGTGTCCAGAGCAGCTCCTGGTCTTGAGAGCTACATGCCTGTCAAGTCAACTCAAAGCTTGGCAAGGCTCAGAGATCTGATGCAGTCCCTGGCCTTATGACTCAGGCTTCCCAGTGAACTTACTTGTCTTTGGGTTTGCCACTTGCTGGCAGGAGGCTAAAATTAGCATCCTTTCCCAGCAGATAGTCAACAGAAATTTTTTGGCTGCAGACATGCCAATTGGGTCATGACTAGTGGAGCAAATCTTATGATGAGAGTCATAAATCAACTGTCTGCGAGCAGTTTGACTTAAACAGGAGCTAACCAAAGCTGAGCCTGTAATTCATTAGACTCAAACAGTTCCTCGAAAACCACAGCTAGCCCAGCAGGTGGGGAAATAGCTGTAAGAGCCCTGTGTGTAGGGCAGAGCCATCAGCTCAGCTGGCAATCCCTTGCTTACCAAAAGCAGCACATGGGTGCAGGCCCACAAAGAAGAATTGGTTAAAAGTTTAAAATGAATAATTCAATGCTCCTTTGATTTGTTTTAACTACTGCAGAATGTGTGTCCTGCCACATTACTTCAACCTTGGAATGAAGTACAAATAGATGTGATTCAGACTCTAAATATTTAAAGCCAGAATCTAATCTTAGATACATTGTGTGTACTGTCATCTCAAAAATCCGCTAAAGAGAGGCAATGATGGACAGCACAGATTGAAATTAAATTCAAGCTCTGTATTAAAAAACTTGCCCTGCTAATTGACATTAATGACTAACCACAAAGAAACTTATGTCTGTCAGTGACAGCAGTGCTCAAGTGTTCTTTGTCATCACTGTCTTTGTTAACTTTAGAAAAGAATAGTCCAAAACCACCTCACAGGGAAAGAACGTCACATCCCCTTTCTCCCTGTTTTCTTAAAGAGATGCAGCTAAACTATTAACTTTTTCCAGTTAAATGCCAAACAAAACATTTCTAATCTACTTTTCACTGAAAAGAAAGATAAAACCACAACCGTAACTTAAAGCAAAAGCTATAATAGTACTTGTGCAGTTACAGGCTCTTGCTATAGATAGGCAGGTCAAAGCAATCAGCATATGAATCTTCACACACAGCCAGCAAACCCATAACTTGACACAGCTCTCTACTGAATATTATTCTAAGAGGAGTAAGCTCACCAGGGCATGACCCTATTAAATACCAAACCTGTAGTTCCAAAATAGCACAAAACCTAGATGGATGATCTCATTTCCAGCAGTAATGGGCCAGAATACAAATAAAGGATAGCCACTGCTTCAAGTGCACAAGGAAACAAAATAAGGCCATGTTAGAATAAAGGGTAGAATATACATTGACAGCTGAGCAGAAGAACCTGCTGCTGCTGAAAATGATGGCAGTCTTTCTTTTCCCTTTGCTGGACATTAAGGCCTCATTACAGGACTTTTGTATATCATAACCATGTAGCAGCCTCCCAAGACAAACTTTAGTTCAGTAAAAGAAGCAATGGGGCTAAACACCCACACCAAGCAAATGAGCCGTGGAAATCTAGCTTCATCTAAAGGCAAAATGATGTTAATGTGTGTCACTTTTGAATTTAGGGGTAGCATAGTACAGCCACCAGTCCAGGGTAGAGCGATGCAGAGTTTAGGTGGAGTTCAGACCAACTAAGAAGGACCATTCATACATCAGAGGTGAATAGTAATGTATGTGTAGAGTACATTATTAACAAAACAAAAGTCTTTTACCTTAGGCAGATGGAGATGTTTTATGTTTCAGAAAGGTTGTCTGCTCTAGCACAGAAAAATCCACTTCTATAATTTTCCAATGAGATGAACCTCATTGGGAATGAGGGAGATGGGAGTGTCTGAATGCCCATGGGGTGCTTTGGAGATGAAAAGTGCATGATTAATTCAGGCAGTGATTGTTTCCTTCCTTGGGCTTTCAGAGGAATGTAGCATTGTGGTTCAGAAAGTGCCACTGAAACACAAGGTGAAAACCCCCACAAAGAAGGATCACATGAAGGAAGATGAGGAAAGCAGCCAGACCCATGATAATAGTATTCCAAATAACATCCTGGAGGCAGTTTTACAATTGTCAGCATTGCCACGGACCTAGATGTAGCTGCAGGAAACATGGATTTAGATTTGTTTTAAATCCCATGGATTGGAGTCCAGGCTCTGCAACTAGCAAGTATGATCTCTTACTGAATAGGAGCATAGCCACAGGAAAGAAAAGATTAAGGGTATCAAAGGAATACATTTTTTCATTTCACTCCTTTCTTATTACAGTAGATTAAAAGAAAAAAGTGAGTTTTGTTCAACATTCAATTTTGAGAACAATTAAATAAGCCAAAAACATTGTTCAGAATTAGAGCACTGAATAAAGGATTTCAAAAACACAGTGTGGGGTTCATGGTGGGATTTTTATTTCCTTTTAAGATGAACCATATACATCTGTATGAGATCTATTGTCCTCTGTCCCACTGAAAAAATAGTTTCTTTCTGAAGCGTCCAATCTGTTAAGACACATAGGTTCTTTAAAAGCTTTAAAAAAGAAGGAAAGCACTCAAACTCTCTTCTGGTTCAGATGGCAATTATCTGAGAAGCAGCAGAGAAACAGGAATACATGGGTAAATGAAACAGCTTTTGATGGCCTGGCAATGAATGACAGTAGGATTTGTCCTCTTTGGTAATGACATGCAGCAGCAAGCAGTATGCACCAGCAAGACAGAAGTCAGCCCTGACTGTCTGGTACAACTGCAGTGATCTTTCACAACATAGATGGTTATTACAAGCCTGCACAAGGGAAACCACTTTATTCTCTAATGGATGGAGAAATATTCCTTGATACTGAGGCAAAAGGGGACACCATTTAAAGAAAACAAAACCTTTGAAAATTTCCTTGTAACTGTGGGTCTGGAAAATCTCTTTTCCTTCTGTTCTGCAGAAACTGTTGAACACCAAGAATTCCACCATCACTTTTGGGCCCCATCAAGACAAAGGCTAACAAAAGAGGGAGGCTAAAAGACCAAATCTAGTTTACAATTCCAGCTTTCATACTCATCATTCATCAACTGAAGGAGGGTTTCTCAAAATAAAAAAAACACAGACTAGGTATGTAGAGTCAGAAAAACACCCCCACTGATCATTATAGCTTGTATGCTGCTATCATTCATTCTCCAGGGAATCCTGTGCTCCAGGCAGATCTGGCAAAACAGACAACTAAGAGAGGAGCTGTGTGTGATGGAGAACCTGGAATGCTTCAGGCACAGAGTTTGACTGTATTGAGCTTGTATTGAGGGACAAAAGCAAGTCACAAGGGCCACAGTGCTTACCTTTCCATTGCATCAACTCTAGTGACTGGAAGCGCCAAACTTCAACTCCTCTGAGTGGAAGGCAGAATAAGACAGGACTCAAGTCAATGGTTGATAGAAAAATGGTAGGTAGACATCTTCCTTTAAACCTCTGAAGTTCACTGTCTCACTGCTCTGAACAGTTTCTCTAGGCAGAGATAAAAAAGAAAAAAAAACCCAATTTCCTCTGTACGTTTTTTTCTAAGAGAAGACAACAGTCTTGGGAAAAGTCTTAAGCAATCTTTGCTCAAGATCAAATTATTTAGAAAGAAACTCCTCAGAGAACTGTTACACCACATGCTTATGTTCATATGGGAACCCTGACTAGAACAATTATCAGGATAAATAGAGGTTTTGGCACCTAGGAAGCATGTAAAAGAAGGGTTTCCCTATCAGATTCAGAGATTGGGATTTTTTAGGCCATGTAGGTACATATCATCAAGGCCATACTATAGCTGAAAATGGTTGTGTTACTAATAAGGCTAGAGAGCCTGGAATGATAAAGTACTGACCACAAAAACTCATCAGTGCTGGTAAGTCCAGGACAGTTGAATTTCAAACTCAGAGCCATTTTAAGTCTTTATGTAGGCTAAAAATCCTCTGTGTTACAACAGTTTGTGAATTTGTGAATTCCAGTTTGAATTTCTGAATTGCCTGTGTGGTTTTGTTTATAGTGATGACTCTGTTTATTTTCAAAAGGTTACCAGAAAGGCCAGCTTTGGAGAGTGCATGTAAAAACAACTCGGACTCAGCAGGCTGAGAAATGGATCCAACACAGCAGGGTTCAGAAGGGGGTAGGGTGTAACAGACTGATCAGAGAAGTCATCTTCAGGAGACATGAATGCTTCACATATGTGAGTTAGTTGAGGTCCTCTCCACCCATAACCACTTGCTTATAAATCTACAGCATATAGAGAGCAGCAAAAAGATCAAGTTAGGCATGAGAGGGAAACCTGGCACTAAGGAATAGAGAGTGAATTCCTGGCCAGAGACCAAAAAAAACCCATTCTCGTTCAGTTGGGTGAGTTACTACATATCAAACAAGCAGGTACAGGGACCTTGTCCTGTCATAAGAGATCTCTATTTGCATGTTTGCTGGTGAGGAGCGAGCAAAACCTTGGAGAGACTGCTGTCAGCAATGGGATTCACACCTGCTGGCGGTGCCTGTACCACCAGCAATCTTGGTCTGGGAGATGTCTAAGCAAAGGAACTTTGCTCACTGCTGCTATGGAGTAAAGTGATGCCTGTTTGGCAGCCAGAAGGTTCTTTTGCTTTAAGAAATGCCACTTAGAGGAGCTGTGGAAGGGGTGAAAAGGAGGGAGACCGCCAGTGAGCTTTTTCCTTTTATCTTGTAGATGAACCAGGTGTCAGGAGCAGCAGAAACCAAGTGAGGAGCATGAAGGTTTTTAAGAGTCATATTGCTAAAATGTAATGAAAACTGAAGACAAAAACTAGCCTGAACAAAACAGAGCACCGGAGTGGAAAAATAAGCACTGGAGAAGCTTAGCCAAAAGGGGAAATAATAAAATGAGCTCAGTTCTTCAATTCAAATTCCAACTTTGTGCTTTCAGGACAGGGGACTTGAAGAAATTGAAGAGCTGGCATTATGTTTCTTTGTAGCTGCAGCTGCTCACAGTTATCTGCCACTGTGTTCCCTGGCAGGCAGCACTGCAGCACTGATAGCCTACAAATTTCCCAGGATGTGAGAAAAGGGCACCAAGAATGACTAATGGATCCATGATGAACTGGCACATGCCAGCAGACACACATGCCAGTTGTCTCACAGGTAGGATCCAGCTAGAGCACTGCTGCATCCCACAGCTGCAGTCTGCAATTGCTCTGTGTCACTGGTGATGGGGGACATATAATGTTCCCTCTGAAAGCCCTACTTCCTCAAGCAGGGCTTTCTGGTCTCTCTGGAGAGATGCTGCTGAGACTGTATTTTAATTTGCTTTTGGGTCCCAAGATACATCAGGCAAGAGAACCTCACTCTCGTATGTTGCACTACATCCTTGCTTCTCCAGAGTACTGTCATTTTTCAGAGCAAATGCCAATAAAAAGGGCATGATGTCAGGCATTCCATCTGCAGGATGTGGGGCGCTCCTCCATTCCCAACCACAGACTGATGGATGCTTCTGCTCCATCCCTCCCAGAGGGAGCATTACAGATCCTTTCAATGCCCAACCCCCCAGTTTCAGTAAAGATCCACTGACACTTGGTGGAAAAAACAACATTGTATTTGATTTACAATTAACAGGATTTACAAATAATGAAAAAGAAACAGATTAGCCATGAAATTAGGATGCCTTTGTAGATGAAAGAATAACTGGCAAAGCACCTCGCTGTAGAAGTTGTATAGCTCAGTCCTAAACAGTATAAAATAAGTTACAGCCCAGGCAGGTTCTGGAATGATTATAGGCAAATGCAAGAAGTCGAGTACAAGCAAACAAAAAAACTGCTCACAGCCTACTGGGCAGGAAACCAGTTCTGGTGAGGCTTTTGATTTTCAGAAACTGAAGGAAAGGCCCACTGACAAATACTAGGAAATTTTCAAAACGGGAGAGAAAAAAATATCAACAGACAGTAAAAGTCAGTATGTGACAACCTACTAGGCAGGGAGAGCTGGGGGCAGACACTGCATTAGCTTGCTGAGAGTCAGCAGAGTCCGGGTGTTTGGCAGGACAATGAACGAAGGAGTACAGATGGCAGCACTTCATTAAAATGCTACTTTACTGCCAAAAACTTGCAAGACAAAGAGAAGTAAAGTTCTCTGATGTGCAATACAGCAATTTAAGAAGACGTACCTAACTTTTTGATTTGTACGGCGCTTACCTATATTGTAAACACACACTTTCTGACAAGGTATTTCAATTTTCTTTGCTATGGATTATAGTGTATATTCAATCAAATGCAGCATTCCAAGGCTCAAAACTGACTGAGTGGTTTTCAATAGTTGGGTATATGATTTTTTCCAATATCATAGTATTTTACATCACAGATACAATAAAAACAAGTGATGGTATTTCTAGGACAGTTCCAAGATTCAAATAAAAAATCATCAGAACCATTCTAAAATAGGGTATTATACATAATCGTGTTAAACAGCACACTCTCGGCAAGCAGCTAATTACAAGCATTCTGCTGGTCATGTTTTTCACACAAAAGTCATTCAATAGCACATAAATACTTATTTTTCTGATCTGCTTCTTTTTACAAAACCATTCATCAGATTCACAGAATTAGTACAAGTAAGGCACATTAGCATATATCATAAAACTCACAATAATAACAAAGAGGTTTAAAGTTTTAAGGACTGATTCCTTCTTTGCAGTGATTTCTGAACCGAACAAGACTTCATCAGTAGAACTCTTCTACACTGATATTATTCTTATTTCTTTCACAGCCAACTGTGGTGGGTGCATCACCATTGAGATAAATAATTAAATTTAGAACCACGTGTGGTAGCAAATCCCATTTTTAGATTTTGCAGAGAAATCAGACACTTTGTTCGCTATGTTCATTATGAGCAGAGACCAAGTTTTAGAGCTCTATGGAAGTCAATTTCCAGTTATCAAAATAAAAGGAGATATTGCATGTGTCTCTGAGTATGTTATTGTTTTCCTAGTACAAATATTGCTTAAGGTAGAAAGGATGCTATGGTATTGAATTTACTTGCATAATGAATTCTAAATGCTGATGTCTCAGATTCTACTAAAACAAATGCACGAAAGGTTTTTCTTCTTCCACCCCCCACCCTGCCCCCAACCAAAGGACTCTCTTTCCCACAGAAGATTCATTTACACACAACACAGCTTTTAATTAGAAGCATAATTTACAGTAAAAATTCTTTACATTACACCTCTGCTATCAAAAAACCATGAAATCTTTCATTTAAAGTTGTAATTATACATTAAAAAATAGAACACTATTTCCTTAACAGGAAGAATGAATTTGAACATCTTCAGATCAGATTTCTTTATTGCGGCTTTTGAGTCAAAGGTCAGTCACTTTATTCTCTAGCGCAGCTGCTATTTGCTGTAAACGGAAGGCAAGCTGCATTTTTTGTGCAGCTGGATCCTCTTCAAGTGCATTTATAATCTGGAATATATAAACACAGAAAGTTTAGAATAATTTAGCTTAAAATGTATGACACATTTTAAAGAGTCTTTTGCAATCACTCTGTACCAAAGTCCATCTATTAGGCCTCATGTTCTATTTTTCCACAAAGACAGTAAAAATTATTGTCTCTGTTGCTTTATCTAAGTTGCTGTAATGTTTCCCATTATGTTGGGATATAAGCAAATTAATAGGTAGTACTTTATCTTGTAAAATATTACGTTCCAAGATGGAGCAGGCAGGGGAAGAATTTCCTTAGAGCTATTAAAGAAACAGTGCTTTTGCATACAGTGCACCCTACAAAGCTTAAGGATCATTTACCATCAGTAATTATATCCCATCCCCATGAGCTGTAGCTATGAGCAGCTCCTGGGTGGTCCATGCACAGGCATGTGCTAGGACAACGGAAGGTCTCCTGTGTCTGTAGGCAATATGAAGAATAAAGCCAGCAGCTCCCTTTTGGCTCTCGCCAAGAAGTGCCAAGATTCTGGCCCAGCACAGCGTAGTTCAGGAAAGCAAACAGCTCCTCCGAGGAGCCCTCAGCATCCCACAGCCTCTGCTGTACAGAATATATATAAGAGGATATGACTCTTAAGACACAAGGGATTTGAAAACAAGAGCCAGTAAAGGTCAGCTGTTATGAGAAGGTTTTTCTTCAAATAGAGTTTTTAGGGCTTCCCAGATCAAATCCAAAAGGTTTTGAAAGGTTTTCATTTCCACCATCCTTTAGGAAAACTTTCCCACCAGCTATTAGATTTCTCCATTAGAAAAATGTGTTACGTGACGAAACCATTCCTTTTCTACAACTGGCTTTATTAATATGTCTGACAGTGTAATCAAGCAGAAACCTTTAGTACTGTTTAAATACTATATCAACTTGCAAGTACAAAGATGGAAAAATGGAGTTTGCCTGTCACTGCCTGTGGTTCTTAATACTTCTTGAACATCACTGACAATGGAGATTAATGCAGTCAGAATCAATCTAGCCAATAATTTCATTTTGAAGGGCTGGTACAGTGTTTGCATTTCCAACACTGGAGTAAATTTGTTTAGAAATAATTATTTTAATGAGTTTGTTTTTAAAGCATGAAAATATTTTTAAAAGACAGACTTAATAAATACTTATTGCAGTATTTAAACTGAGCCTGATTTAATTTTATATTGTTTCCTTAATTTAAACAATTATATCTAGCTGTAACTCCTTAAATCTAGACTAAATAATTAATGATTTTCTCTACTGGTGAATATATCCTTCATATAAATGTGGACAATTAGAATGTACCCACTCAGTCATTGTCAAGCCCTGCAGAGATGCAGAAGGTACAGCACATGCTGGGAACAACTGTGTCAGTAATAAAGACAAGGGCAGCTGCAAAATGTTCCAATTTATGCAAATTAAAACATTTTCATGGAAAATAAATAAGCTTGATTAATTTTACTGAATGGTTCTTGACAGATTATCTCCACAAGTCTGAATTAGCAGCCTTTTCATCAGATGCACCTCATTGTTACACAGTGATGTACACGGAAGGGAAGAGCTGCAGCTACGTACTGGGGTGTTTTGGCCTGCCACTGATGAAGTCCCACAGGCTGGTGGCTCTGCCTGAGGTGTGGGTGAATAAGGGATTTACAGTTCAGCTGTCATTCAGGGCCCTCAAGTGTTTTTGTAAGAGTTCAAACTACGGACACATTTGGGAAGGCACTGAAAGCCAGCTTAGCACTGGTGATGAGGGGTGAGGCAATGCCATGGGGGTGGCCTTCATTCCTCTGGCTACTTCTCCCACTGACCATCATTGCAAGATGTCTCAGGGTGATTTGATTTTCCCTGCTTGCATCTGTTTAAAAGCTGTGACGGGCTGGCTGCTCCTGTATAAAGCAGCTGCAGTGAAAGATGCAACTAACTGTCTTTAGTGCTAAATGTAAGTGAAAACATGAGCTGTGCTGAGGTGCAAGACTAAGCGAATAGAGCTCACATGTACTGTGTTACTTTTTGATTCAGCATCTGTTCTTACTTACTTGAATTCTAAGAGTTTTCTGGAGGCATTCATTTCCATGGAAACCTTTGAATAAAAGTTTCCTTCTCTCTTTTTGTCTTCAGATTAAGTTTGGAGAGCCATAGCCACAGCCCAGCAACTCTGGGATATTCTTTGTCCCCCTTTCCACAGAGTGTGAAAAACCAAAGAAACTTTTTAAACTGAAGCTGTGAGTCTGCTTTTAAATCAGGCTACATTCAACAGTTACTCTGGTTTACTGTAGGCAGGCACTTGGCATGGCAAAACAGGGATGGTACCATGCATGTAAGTTTAAGGAGCATTTTAACTAATAAAAACGTCATGGCTCCAATACCTACAAGCAAAACAAGTTTAATGGATTTTTCCTAATAAAAAAGCACACTGTCTTGAAACCTGATATAGCTCTGATGACTTTTTGCTCAGTGACATTGTTATATACTTATTAGGATGGCAGAACTGAAGAGAAATGATTTTTAAATATATTTATCTTTCAGATCTTGTTTAACTATCCATTAAACTATCCCTACCAAAACCAGATAGCCATAATGAAATTGTTCATTTACAAGGACATTATCTTGACCAGTGTAATTGCCAAGCAGGGTATATTACTGCAAGGGTTTTGTTCAGCATTGCTTTTACCTGATTTTTTAGTGAAATCCAGAAGTCACTCCTTTAGACTAATGTCAGCTTTCATACCCTTTTATCATTGATATTAAAGCATGAAAACAAAAGCCATAACTTACCTCATCATAGTATTTGTTAGTGTACTGGTAGAGTTGGTGTAGAGCCACAAGCGTGTTTAAGGAATCAGTATGTGCCTGTTAACACAAGCAGGCAGCAAACATGTCAAAATAGGATCACACACAGCTAAAAATTATGCACATGCACAACTGTTGGGTACAATTGACAGGATTTCCAAATGCAAGCTCTGGGTTGAACTTTTGTTAAATGTCACTTGGGGCAGAGAAAAGGAGTGAGAAAACTTCTGTTTGGTGATTTTTAGATCAAGACTTTCCCTCTGGTATTTTTCCAGCCTGCCCACAACTCTTAACATTGAAGTTGGAAGATATTTTGAACTCTGAACGCCAAACCACAGGCTACAGCTCAAACATCTGTTAGCAGCATGGGTATGAAAAGCTAAAGCATTTACTCAGTACAAGCTACATATTGTTGAGATATTAAGCCCTTTCTCCAGCTGTTTTTACATCCTAAAAATTATTCACACCTCACTACACCAAAGGTGTAACGCCTCAATATCATGTCCTCATGTACATTTGGAAAAAGCCACATGAAACATGAAGATAGAAAGGTAGGTGGTGGTGGTGGTGGGGGCACATGGTGAGAATAGAGAGAGAAAGGACTTCAAATGAAGTAGGAAATAGCCCTTCCATTACCTTATCTTCCCCCTGCCTCCACACATGACCTATTTAGTGAATGTGCTCTACCTGTCCGAACAGATGTTCTTCATTCAAACGTGCAGGATTCAAGTCTCTAGCTATTCCTTTAGTCTTTTAAGTTAGTTAAGAAAATGGAGAATTGCAAAATATTGCTACTGGCATAAATTATTACCCTAGGGATAAAGCAGCAGAGAAACATCCATCTTCCCTTGCTCTATAAAAGTCACTTTTAGAGCTGGTCAAAATTTGCAGTGTTCAATCACTCTTCCATATTAATTTTGATCATAATTTATAATGAAAATAGAAAGGAAGAACATATCCTGTTAATGTTAAAACGTTATATTGAATTTACTTTTAATCACCAAACATTCTAATTTTATATATATCTCAATTTATGTAATAAATAAAGTGAACTGTAAAATGAAATGTCACTGCAAATGAGTTTTGTAGTGAATGACTGAAAATAGAAATGCTCTCATGAGGATGTTGATCTGCAAAATGTTAGGTCCTAAGGGCACTGAAATAAACAAACCACAAAAAATTCCCCAAACATCCTCCTTACGCTAGAACTCTTCAACTAAATTAAGCAAATGAGCAAACCAGCCGGTAAATACTCTGCCTTCTTGCTCAGGCTAAACAACATCTTTAGGACTGGTGAGGCACTCTCTGGGTTCTCCAAGTTAAATAGAGTGCTTCAAAGGCAAGAGCCTGCCCGAGCTGAGCTGAGCTGCAGAGCAGACAGGCTCTTTCATGACTGAAGCAGGTTTTGTAACGACTTTGTTCCACCTGTCTGCAACTGAAGTCCCAGACAGCAACCACCACACTCTGCTCTTCTCCACCCGAGGTAACCCAAATAACCTACATTGCTAAATCTGCCACTGAGCAAGCACACGATGAACTTCTCACATGTAGCATACAGCAGAAGTATTGCCCCTCTACAGACACTTCTAAAATATGCTATACTTAATGTCCATGCCTCTTCTTTAATTTCTGGAATCTAATTTTTGCTGTGGTAGAACTGTGAATTCAGTCACTACTCATTTTCAGTATGATCAATGCTAAAAACCCTTTATATGCTGCGGAGAGAAAGCACAGTTCAAGAGTGCTATAATTTTTCTACAATGGATGTAAAAAATCCAAACACTGTGCTCTGTTCTTTGCATAACTCAGATAGATTAGTGACAATAAGGATTCTTGATTCCATTCAATAA